GTTGTTCAGCTTCTGCAACAGTCCTGGACTGTGTCAATCTGCACTGTATCTGTATGCACAAAACAGCAAGACCTTATATAATTAGACTTTTCTGAGCAGGGTTTCAATTACTTGCAGCCAAATGCAATCTTAATTGATACAGCATGAAAACCCTCTTTTCAAATAAAATCTCTTCTAAAGCCCCAATATGTGGAACAAATAAAAGGGCTGGGGCTGCATTAGGAATTCAGACAGCAGTGTTCCCAAAGCCATTCCTTCCCAGATTCCTGCAGGGGTTCTTCTGTGGAACCAGAACTGGCTAGAAACAGCATGTTTTAATGTGTAGGCCAACAAGGATCCTCAGATTTTTCCAGGGATCTGAGCGTTCTCTACTGAATTCATTCCTCTGTTTATATTTTCTTTTTATTTGCTTATTTATGCAAATTCTGTTCTAAGAAAATTTAGATCTCACCGGGCACAGTGGCTCACATCTGTAAAAACACTCTGGGAGGAGGACTGCTTGATGTCAGAAGTTGGAGACCAACCTGAACAACATAGTGAGATAACTCCTTTACAAAAAATAGAAAAATTAGCTGGGTATGGTGGTACATGCCTATAGTCCCAGCTACTTGGGAGGCTGAGGCAGGAGGATTGCTTGAGCCCAGGAGTTTGAGGTTGCAGTGAGCTGTGATGACACCATGGCACTCTGTCTAGAGTGACAGAGCAACACTTTGTCTCAAAAAAATACACACACACACACATTATATACACACACACACACACATATTATATACACACACACATATTATATACACACGCACATATTATATACACACGCACATATTATATATACACACACATATTATACATACACACATATTATATACACACATATTATATACACACACATATTATATACACACGTATTATACACACACACATATTATATATACACACACGTTATATACACACACACATATTATATACACACACACATTATATACACACACATATTATATACACACACACACACGTATATATAACAAAGAGATCCAATTCATGACTAAGGGCTACTATAGCACAATTAATTGTATGATCATATTGGCAACAGTGGCTCTATTCTAATTGTCATGAATAATGAGAAAGAAGCACAGTGTGTAACACAAACTGATGCCTTCCTTTTAGGTGTCATGGAATGCAGGTGAAGGCAGCTTTGAAGAGAAAAAATTATGAAAGAACCAAGTATCTGTCTGGGACACGAGTCTGTGTGTAACAAAACCAAAATCATCTCCAGATAAGCACTAGCGCCATGTTCATGTTATAAGCCTTATTCATTCCAGTAAAGCACTCTCTACATAAGAAACCGATGTTGATAATGTGCATGGTTTTCTTTAATTCATACATTCATTTTAGTGTTATAATTGCTCATGAATAAAAAGTAATAACTACGGGTCTTTTGGTCTGTACATACTTAAACAATAGTATGATAAAATAATTAAAACAATGCAGACCCAGATCTTGCTTTCTGCCTTGTTACTTGTCTGTATAGGATCCAAACTCAAGAAATGATGAACAAGATGGCCCATGTCCCTCCCAGCTGGTCAAAATTATGATTTCAGGAACTTCCTAATCTTATAAAACGAGTATCAAACACTTTCACCAATGTGATGGTTAATTTTATGTGTTAAGCTGACTGGGTTGTGAGATGCCCAGATAGCTGGTAAAACAGTATTTCTGAGTGTGTCCCTCAGTGTGTTTCCAGAAGACATGAGCATTTGAATCAGGAGACTAAGTGAAGAATGGCCATGCTCACCAAGGTGGGCAGAAAGCTTTCCATCTGCTTAGGGCCCAAAAAGAACAAAAAGGCAGAGGAAAGGCTAATCATTCTCTCTCCTTTAGCTGAGACATTCACTTTCTTCTACCCTCAGGCATTGGAGCTCCTGGTTCTTGGGACTTTGGAATCCAGGAATTACATCAGCACCCTCTGAGCCCTACCTCATTCTCTGGCCTTTGGTCCCAGACCAGGAGTTATACCATCACCTCCCCTGGTTTTTAGGACTTCAGGCTTTCCTGGGTCTCCAGCTTGCAGAGAGTTAATAGTATTTCATGAGAATTCTCTAACTCCATAATTATGTAAGTCAATTCCTAAAATAAAGCTCCACATAAATACACACACACACACACACACACACACACACACACATATGCTATTGTTTCTGTTTCTCTGAAGAATCCTAGTATAGGTTGAATATCTCTTATCCAAAATGCTTGAGACCAGAAATGTTTTAGTTTTTAAGTTTTTTCAAATTTTAGAATATTTGCAGTATTGTTAAGCATCCCATTCAGAAAATCCAAAATGCTCCAATGAACATTTCCTCTGAGCATCATGTTGGCACTCATACAACCAACAATGTGGCATGTGCCCTTTGCTTTTTTAAAAATATTAATAAAAAATAAACAGAATTAAAGAAATTTCTCCATCGGGATAAAGCACATATATGACACTATATATTCGCTTATAATAATAACAACAAAATCACTATAGGCAGGGCCATTGACAAGCTTTTCCCACTGGGGTTACTCACCCGGCTCCACCTGGTCCCTTCACTCAACACTCCCAGCAGAAATATTTCTGCAAGGAACTAATATGGGTTAAAAATAAGGCCTCCCTAAGAGCCTGCTCCCTCCTTACTCAGGAAATTTGAACCCTTGGGTGATGCCATTTTTTACACAATGTGCATTCTGATTACTTCCAGAAGGCAGGGCAGGGTGAACACACGGGGAAAACATTTCTGTCTTTTGAGGCCGTCGTTTATCTACGCACTTCCAGCCCAGAAAATCAGTGCCTGGTGGCTTTTGCTGTTTGAGTATGTGTGTTTCATTCCCGGCCAAAGGACTCCTCCCTCCACCCCCCACTGGCCAGTCTGTCTGCTCCTCCTTCCTCTCTGCCTCCACCTCTGCCCTGGATTTCGTCCTCTGTGCTCTCTCCCCTCCCTGCTTTCCTTTTTTTCATTCCTGTTCAAATGTCAAGAGAGCTTGGCTTTTCCCTCCTTTACTTTTTAAAAAGAGAAACGACAGAGTTTCTTCCAAGTTTCAGGCACTGCTCTTCATAATCCTGCAACCTGGAGTTGCTATTTCACGCCTCTTTCTGCTCGACGCTTGACGCGCACTAAATTTAGAGGAGTATGACATCCACGCTCACTGAAGTCTCCTTTTTCACTGGCAGTGGGCTTGGCTATGGTTCATGCTAGTTCCTAATCTGTCTTGGCATTTTGCTCGCTCAGTACACACTTTGGAAAAATAAAAAACAAAATGAAGTCACCATCCTGACTTCCAACTCTACCCCCATGTCCCTGCCCCAAATCCTGCAATTCCCTTCACCATCCCCACACCACCCGATACAAAGGTGAGGTTAATAAAGAAAACAATCATGGGCTCTCTCTTAGAGTAAGAGATCACGTTGCCAGTGATATCCCAATTGCCAACTCCAAGTAAAAAATAAAAATTGGTAACTAAAAATTCTGACTTTCTACCAATAGGACATAACTTCTTCCTATGTATTCTAGATTGTGCACCGAGCAAGGAATGAGAAACCCAAGCACTCCAGAATTTACTGACCATTAAATTTACTCTATTAGCTACTTGTTTAGAGATTTTAGGACACTGAAGTAAACACACACCTGTTTTCATAAGAGATCCACCTTTAAGAGGTCTAGTTACTCCCTAGCTACTCAAGAATACATCCAAGAATCCATTCATTCATGCATCTTCCCAGTTAGACTCTTGGCCAAGCCCCCTTTGCAAAATATCATGTTGTCCCAGATCGCTCTTCTTGTAATTATAACACAGTAGCAAGATTTAGTCCAGCTTTATCTGAGCTAAACTAGTCTCTTAATGAAATTACAATGTATTATGTTCTCTAAACGCTGTAAATAAGTATATGCAATTGTAATGCATTGTAATGCAATTATAATATATTATGTTTTCTAAATGCTATACATGCAATAAGACAGAGCTTTTCTGTGAGAGGAAAAAAAACCTATACTGCAATAGAGTTGATATGGGTAAGGAAAACCCAAAATTGAAGAGGAAAACTGAGGTTACTTTTGTGCTGAAAATTATTTAAAATTTGATTTCCTAAAAGAAGCTCTTTTCATTAAGGTATAAAACAAAACCAATCAATCAAGAAAATAAAACTCGCCCCATTATGTCTCTTTTAACAATGATTTTGAATAAACTACTGTTCTCTGTTACTTTTTTGTTATCTATGTTTCCTAAAATACAGGCATACTTTTTGAGAGTAAAACTGCAAATTACTTCAAGTGAGAAAAACTGGAAATGATTACAGAAACAAATTACAAATACTGGTCCAGCGTATTTCTAGGCAAAGATATCATGAACAGTCAAATCCCAGATAATGACGGTCAAAAATCCTATATAAAAATAAAAGATGCTGGGAACCCGTATACTCAGATGTATATACACTCTGCAAGTCTGATCCAAAAGAGAAACTTCAAACTCTGATTCCTTCCTAAAATGAGAGCCATTTTCTGCTTAAAAAAAAAAAAACAAAAAAACAAAAACCAAACTTCTCTCTCAAAACTCTTGTGAAGCAAAGAACATAGTTTTCTCTAAAATTATCCTTCCTGCCAATGAACTGTCCTCCTGAGTAGAAAGGAAAAGTTACAGACGGTCGGAGCAGGGTGACAACACAAGGAATGCACGTACTTCTCTTTACGCAATAGTGTCGCCAGCTAAATCCTAACTTTCAAAAGTGTGTCTGCCCTGCGGAAAATCAGATCTCGAGGGAGGGTGGAGAGGGCAAAGAGTACAACTGCACGCTAAATGTCTAAGTGATCACGGTCTAACTTATTAACACACACAGACAGACAGACACACACACACACACACACACACACACACACACACACAGCCAAAGTCAGAGTGCCTGCAAGCAAACAGCAGACAGACAGCTTAGGAAGTGAACAGGCGAGGAATGCGAGCACCGAACAGTCCCCTACCTCTCTTGTCTGTTTCACGGCTCGGCGGACGACAATCGCCCCTGATCCCTGGGTGTGCTGAGACACTCTGAAGGCGGCGGCCACTCGGCCCGCTGACAGTGCGAGCAGGCCCAGCCCGTGCTCAGAAGCTGCCCCAGTCAGATTTTCCAACTGCAGAACTGCAGCCAAGTCCCTGCCCATGCCTCAAGAATTTCCTGAACAGCATTCCCGTTCTGTTTCTGCCTGCCTTGAAACCATACTCTGCACACTTCAATACGGCTTTGTCAGGCCGACTCCCAGCTACCGGGCTGTCTCCAGTCATCAATGGGAAACACATGTGTCAAGCACGGGCTCGGTCCCCTGCCACGGCGCTCATGGCGTCTGCTGAGCTCATGCTCCTGACCAGACAAGGAAACTGCTTCTAGAACCAATTCTGATTTTGCAGCCATTGTCCACACAGGCTCTGCTCTCTGGTGCTAGATGCTGGAGCTAAGCCCTCTCTTTCTTCTGCTCCTTTTTAACTAGCCTCCTGACACTCGAGTCCCCACCTGACCCTGTCCGCCCCCTGAGCTCTTGCCAGCCCTGATAACAAGCTTATTACAGCAGAGAGAGGTGAATTCTAATTCAATCTCCCTACCTGCCGCTTCCCTAAGTCTCTGCTCAAAAATTTCAATTGCTAGAGGGGGAACAGTATTTTTAGCACTTCCAGACGGGCTCAGTTCTTCAGAGTTTGTCCCTTCAACCTGATATGTACAGCTTTCGCTGCAGCGACTAAAAATAATGCGATTATTTTCCAGGCACTTTGGTTGCTCTCTGCTCTGTAATGGTGCTGGTCCAAAAATGTAACATTTTAGAGGCTGTTGCATTGTGTTATGGTTATGGGAAACAGAAAGGAGAAAAGAAGGTAGCTTGAATCAAAACGTGTGCTAATTCTGGGCACCTGTGATTATTTCTGGCTGCCACTCTCTCAAGATGTCCTGCGTACATTCGACATTTCTGCTGGATTTGGCGGTCTAACCTTTGACATTTCTTTTTCCCATAAAACAAGAGGAAATCTCAAAACAGAAGAGAAGGAGACCCCTCTTCTCCCACGATGAAAAGAAACCCCGTCTCTAAAGAGACAAAGCTAAGTTGTCGAGGTAACACTGTAGAAAAGAGACGATTTCAAGAGAGAACAGCATTTGTTTAGAACTGTCTTTTTCCTTTTTTTAAAGTATTAACTTTTCACTTCCAAAAATCACACTCCATTAGCAATTATTCTAAAGACTGGCTTGCCTGATTTTAAGTGTTATGTGTTCCTGAGAAATTGCTGTAAATAATAATTCAGTGGGGTTTTGGGTGTAGCATCTAATTAAAATAGGCATGAGCATCAGGGTTGGAATTTTGCCTTGGGAAGCAGAGAGTGAGAGAGTGGGAGAGAGCGAGCATACATCTAAGGTCAGGATACAATTAAAGAATCAAAGAATTTTAGAGTTGGAAGAAACCTCAGAAACCAGCTAATCAAAATTGTTTCTACCCTTCGTTTTACACAAGGAAGTGGAGGCCCAGGCAGATGAAACCACTTGTCCAGGGTTGCAAAGACAGTTAATGCCATAGCTGAGGCCAGAAAATGGAACTGGTGCTCTTTTTCTACATGCTTTCTCCATTCCAGCATAATTTGGGAAGGTGAGATCATCTAGCCTGTCTGAGTAGGCTTATCATCAGATGGTCTGGGTCTAATCTTAGCTCTGCCTCTGGCTGGCTATGAACCCTCCTCAGCTTGCTGGCCTTGGCGTCCTCATCTGTGAAATGGGAATGATAATAGACTCTACCTATACAATTTTTGAGGAATTAGAGAGATAATCTAAGGAAAGTGTTTATAACAGTGTCTATACGTAAATTTCAGTTTAGATTTTTTTTTAAATGGAGCAAACCCTAGTCCTTTTATCTAACTGAAAAGCAAAATTGTACTTTCCCATCTAGCATGAGTTCTACAATGAACTATGTGATTGGCTACCTAAATTTTCTGCTGCCTTAACTTTATGTAATAGGGATTACACCTTAAACTCAGAAAACTGTCCTAAAGCCTTACTGGAACATTAAGCCAGCCACATAGCTGCTTTTCATTTACTCTCTAAACATAACACTGGAGTCTTCCCTCCAGACTAACTCACAGGAAAGGCAAATGGCAGGACCAAATCAGCAGTCAGTTACATGAAGCTGAGCAAAATGCCATTCGTGGAGTACTGGACCTTCTTCTCATACCTTAAGGGCTCAAAATGATCATCCTAAAAATAGAAAACCCTTAACAATCATTCCATGATTGGAAACCTCAATATCCAAAATTAACAACAACAGCAAAATTAAATACTATGATAACCTTTCTGAGAAAAGAGCTGCTGCGAATTCTAAGGAGTCTGATTTCTATCTGGGGTTCCACAGCCTTTGTTTTACGGCTAATCATAGCAAATAGTTAATGAACCCCTCACTGTTTATTAATCACATTTGGTATGCACAGCTTCCTTCAGGGAAACAAAAGAGAAAAGTAGTTGAAGGAGTTAATTTCAAATGGTTTACAAATGTTTTGATAATCAATTTAAAAATATAAACAAACATATCTGGACAGACCACACCAAGGCTTACACATAGGAAGAAGAATGGTGATGTCATCCCAAAGACCTGTCCTAGGCTCTCCCTAAAGACTTGCTACGTGGCTCATTTCAGTGCAGTATTGGAGAGAGAGAGATGTCAGTTTGAGACCCAGCTTCATTACTACAGGCTAAAAAATCCTGAAAAATTGCATAGCTCTTCTAATGTTAAGAAAAAGTATCCAAAACTTAAAATAATGCCAAAGGCAGTTATGTTCTTTCAACCTCATATGTGGGAATTGTTTAGCAAGCCCCCTCAAGACAAATTTAAAAGGAATGTGCTTTGCTGAATTGTTTGCTGTTGAATAAAGGTTCCAGATTTAATAAGGTTACATGTTAACTTGGACACTTTTGTCTGATAAGGGTAATTTCTCTCCAATGGAAAAATATCCCCAAATGTGATGTTTTATTGTCTTATAGGGCATGGCCAGTTTTATATAAATCTAGCAATCTTGATTCCTTTATTATTAATGCACCTATTGACACTTAGCTCCTCAAATGCTCTGAGAACCAGTGTTACCATTGTACAAATTCCCTTGTCAATTAATGAGTCAAATCAAATGTTTGGCATATTTCTTTTCATGTTTATATAAATCATGTTTTTTACTTTTTAAAAAGTACAGTTTGACACTGTTGCATTCTCTTTACCCATATAATTAGTGTATTATGTGAGGTAACTCATTAAAAAGGACTTAGAAAAGTATATGACATACAGTAAATGCTCAAACTATATAAGCACTGCTAGTATTTAATACTGTTGTACTATACTTGGTTTTCAGTTTTGCAAAGGACTCCAGAGATCACTAAGGAGTCCCCTTCCTCTTACACCTTTTTAGCCTTACTAAAGATTCTTGAATCCCCTTGACAATGGATACCCACGGTGGAATTCTTTCATAGATGGTGACCTCTTAGCTTTTTAGAGATTTTTTACTTTTAATATTCCAAAGTTACAACTGACTATGTCTCCCTATAACATATACACTTTCTATGGCTACTCATCATAACCATCAGTTAAAAATTCTGATCTTGGCCCAGCACCTCAGTGGCTCACACCTGTAATCCTAGCACTTTGGGAGGCCAAGGCAGGAGGACTGATTGAGGCCAAGAGTTCAAGATCAGCCTATGGAACATAGTGAGACTCTGTCTCTACAAAAATTTTTTAAAAAATAAAACAGCGCCTGTAGTTCTAGCTACTCAGGAGGCTGAGGCAGGGGCATCTCTTGAGCCTAGGAATTCTAGGTTACAGTAAGCTATGATGACACCACTGGACTCTAGCCCAGGCAACAGAGACCTTGTCTCAAAAATAATAATAATAATCTGATATTGAGAATCACACGAAGCAGAAAACTTCATTCTTCACTTCAATATAAGCCCCAAGGGGGCGAGGATTTTTGTCTGCATCATTTTCTGCCATTGTTCCAATGCCTAGAACTGGCATACAGCAAGCCCTTATACCTGCCCTTTGAATAAATAACAGCTTTTGACTTACTGGGAAACAGGGATTCCCACATCATCCTTTTAAAGGGATGATTGTGACTATAGCTTAAACATGTCTGGTACTATCCAATCATTTCCCCCCACTATGGTTTAGATTCTTTTTGTCACCTGCTTTGCTTTCTTCTGGGAATATTTTGGTTTGGTCACTTTGCTGCTTAAGTGTAGTGCTGAAAAGTGAACCAACTTTTCAGGTGTGTGAGTTTAATGTAGGAGTCCTCAAATGTTTTAAACAGGGGGCCAGTTCCCTGTCCCTCAGACCGTCGGAGAGTGCGGCGCACATTCCGCACATGCGCACTGTGGGCCCGGGATGAGTCGGCTGCTAAGCATGACAGGCGGCAGCAGCAAAGACACCCGACAGGCCGGAGAAATGTCCTTTGCAGGCCGCATGTGCCGCATGTGGCCCTCGGGCTATAGTTTGAGGACGCCTGGTCTAATGCATGGGGAAGGGAGGAACAATCCCCTCTCACTTCTATGAATGTGATCCATGACTGTACTGGATTTCAGGGAAGTAACCTTCAGTCACACCGCGCGAAGTCAGCTCGGACCACTCTATGGCAGGTGCTGTCATCAAGCGACATCTCTCACTGCATTTACAGCTCAGCCTCTCCAGTCTAGCTTTATGTTGGCATCATCTGGGGAAATTTTTTAAAATGTCTACAGCCAAGTTCCCACCCCAAAGATTCTGACTCCATTGGAATGGGATGAAAAACAGGCAGCATTATTTTTTTTAAAGCCCCTTAAATCTGAGCCAGAATTAAGAATGTATGGCATTTACAAAAAAACATAAACCTAAGTGTGCCACTCTGTGAACTAAAATCATTAAATGACTTACCACCGCCCAAGAGTCAAGCCTTCCTGTGACTTCAATGGCCCAGCTCTTGAACTGGTCCTGTGCCCACCTCTTCACCCTCATCTGCCTCCATCCCCACACCCATTCCCTTCCTCCAGTTCTCAAATACCTTTCCACTTGAAGAGCTTGAAAAAAGCTGTTCTTTCCTTCTGGAAAGATTTTGCTTTTTCCTGGAAGTTACTCTCACTTTCATGTTTTCATCTAATTAATGCCCATTTATCCTTCAAATCTATCCTCCAAATCACTTCTTCCAGATTCTTTTTCCCCCGAACCCTCACACACCCAACAGTCTCCTGTTACATGTGCCCATAGACTAGCACTTATTATAGTTGTGATTGCATATTCACTTGTATTTTTACTGGACTCATGTCAATGTTTCCTGATACACAGTGGATATTCTCCATGAGGGCATAGCATGGACTGCTTTCTCTGGACTGTATTCTAGTTCTTGCACCACACCTAGCTCATAGGATTCACAAGAGATATTTTTACATAAGCGAATACAATTTTTTTTTTAAAAAAACTCAAGTGCAGGAACATGCATGGAACCCCCAACTTTCTACATCTTGATTTTTTTTATATTTCATTTACTCTAACTTGTTAAGGTGCTATATTGTACTCAGAAAACTGAGTTCCTTTATAAGATGCAAATATTCTAGAAAACTAATAAGCCCTTTCTACATGTAACTGAAAGACTTTTGTGAGCAAGTAGCAAAGTCAGGTGCCTGACAAAGCCAGTAGGGCCTGAGATACAAA